TAAGATTGTCTGCCATTATAGATAAAGTGTTTAAAAGATATTATGGAAGTGGAACAAGTTTTACCACATACAACTGAGGCTGATTTCAAAATGGATTAAAAAATGACAAGCTACAAGGATGATATGGCAAAAGATGCCACACTGGATATACAAACAAAACCAGCTGATGACTTAATAAGTAAAAGAAATATACAAATAACAACGCAAAAAAAGCAACCTGGATAACTTTCCTGTGTTGGATTTATAAAAGAGACCTGTTAAAACTTTGGAGAATTTTGAGAGCAGAATTTTGTGCAAAGCGGCAAAGAAAAAAAATGAAAAAGAAACCAAAGCCCTAAGACATTATTTGAAGGGATTAAAAGACCAAGATTATTCAAACTACAAGGAAGGAATATAAAGTTGACTTATTTGATCAAAGTTAAAATAGTTAAGTTGTTATCTCTGGTAACCTTTAATGGACTTTTGCTGACCAGGTGTGAACAACAAGGCTTTAAGAATCTATACATAACGTGCATGTAAATAATAACCAGAGTCCTCCCCCCACTTCAATTAGGAATATCCAGAGAAGCCAGATGTTTGATTTTGGGGTATTTGTTGCATTCAGGGGAGGTGCCCCTGTCTTATCTGCAGAAGATGCATAGTCTGAGGGACACACAATGTTGTTATGTGCAGCCTTTGGATTCCAGTAATGTTTTCTACTTAAAAGTGCTTTTTATTAGGAAACAGAATGTGGTGTAAAGCCTGCACTGAGGAATCTTCTGGGTGAGAAGCAAGCAAGTAACAATAGAATTCAATAGAATTCTTTATTGGCCAAGTGTGATTGAACATACAAGGAAGTGCATATGTTCTCAGTGTACATAAAGAAAAATAAAATAGAATACATTCATCAAGAATCATAAGATACAACACTTAGTGATAGTCATAGGTTACTAATAAGCAATTCAAATTACACTAGGAAACAAATAAAACAATATAAAATTGAAAGATACAAACAACGTGGTTATAGTCATAAGTGGGAAGAGATAGGTACTAGGACGAAAGAGAAGAAGAATATTAATACAGTGTTGTGGGAATTATTTGTTTAGCAGAGTGATGGCGTTCGGGGGGGAAATTGTTCTTGTGCATAGTTGTTCTGGTGTGCAGTCCCCTATAGCATCGTGTTGAGGGTAGGAGTTGAAACAATTTATGTCCAGGATGTGAGGGGTCTGTAGATATTTTCACAGCCCTCTTTTTGACTCGTGCAGTGTGCAGGTCCTCGATGGAAGGCAGGTTGGTA